ACTTTTTTTTAAGGTATTCCGAATTTTTATTATCCAGTTTTTGAAGGATTCTATTCGCTTCATTAATATTAGTCGGTGTGATTTCGTTGAGTCTCAATCTTTTTTTCAGTGAGTCGTTTTTTGCATTTCTTATGTTCAATAATCTGTATAAATCATTTCGTGATGTTTAAGTTGGAAAACTATCAGATAAAAATTATAATAAAAATATCTCAAAAAGATAAGAGACAAATTCGTCTGTAATTTATAAAAAACTTTCAAAAAAATTATTCAGATCATATTTATATTAGTGTTGTAATTTTATAGTAATATATATTTTTGTATGTAACATAATTGTTAAATACATAAAACATTAATAATAATTATAATATTTTAGGTTTTCCAAACTGCATCGCTTGGAAATAATGAGGAATGCGTATTGCATATTGTTATTTTGTTTGTCATTCTATTATACATGTTCTTAGCTAACTATGTCGGACAAGAAGTTACAGACCACAATAATTACGTACATACTACTGCGTAAGAGATTGTTTCGTACTATATTTATGTAACTAATATTGTTGAATATTATATTTACTTGAATAGTAAAATTAATAAATATGGTAATATATTAATAAATATGGTAATTAAATATTATACTAAATGTGAAAATAATCAATACATTTTTATATATTCGCTGTATTATGATTGAATGCAGAAGGAAAAGGCGGATATTTTTAATTTGACAAAAGACAATTAATTTTATGGCTCAATTCCTAATAATTTCAATTTTACACAGTATATACATACAATATACGCACGAATGCAACGTATGCATGCACGCATGCATGCACATACGTATGCACGCAAGCACTATGCTCACGCAACATTTATGATAATAAAGTAGTAATTTTAAAAAATCTACGTACGTATATATACACGCATTCTGTCTGCCCTTTTTCTCACCCTTTCTACAATTGCAACGACAACAACTGAAAGGAAATTTGTAAATATCACGCAGTCAGCAATTACTTTATCAGCGAACTTATTTATTTATTGTGATTATTTTATAGGTATAATGTTCGGTGGTATATAGCACCCATACATATACAAAAATTAATTCTCTTTATATTGCAAAAGGGTAGCAAAGTCTTCGTTTTAAATGTTGGCAAATTATTTGGTGCATCGTTAGAAAGTTTTGCCACGGTAATGATAATTATACATCATACATTATAATAATTATAAATATTTTCGTATTCTCATGCAATAGAAGACATATTTCATTACAGTTAATAAAAGCATCGATGTCTTATTTCACCTTTATGTGTTCTATGCAGTAAAGCAGATATATTATTTGACTCAACAGGCTGTGCAAGGTGCAATTCCCATAATTAAAAAAACAGAATATAATCTACGCAAAATTTTCACGAACTTAAATAATATGTTAATTTTATTTTATAACCATTGCACTGTAAAAAAACATAACAAAAACAAGAATAAAAATTCACAATTATTTAAATATCCGTCAAAAATATTTATTCATTTAAAACCTTCAGACTTTTAAAAAATATGTAGATAGATTTGATATTAATATTTTCATTCAATTATACAAAATATAACCGATAAGAAATTCATTTCATCAGAAAACGATCGAAAATTCGGGTTACAAAAAATATAACAGATTAACATGCACAATTAAAAATATAAATCTTTTAACAGAGTACAAGAATATAATTGTTTTATGTAAATGAGTAGCACGTTTCAAATCACATTCATAAACAATTACATATACTACATACCTATATTTTATAGTTTACTCTATCTTCCATTTTTTCGATAATAATTTTGTAAGTAATTTGTATTAACTCTTAAGATAACCCAATTTATGTTCAAAGAATGTATTCAAGTAACGAATGCACGCATATGAAATATCTAAAACAATGTTGCTAAAAAGGAGTGAGTCATGGTTGCGTATACTTCGATAAAAAAGTCATATTATAAGTGTTCTTGCTGTAAGAAATACACATTTGCTGTTTATTCGGCATTTTAAATCGATCATCTCGTTACTTACAAAATTTTCAAAATTCACTAGAAAATTTTATTTTAGCTTATTCATCTCAAAATCATCTCGAAAATTGTCAAGAATATTATATTCCAAACTTAACATTTTGCATCTTTAATGCTCCGAGATGTCAACAATCAAATTGTGCAGGTAAAAAGAATGTTTGAGGTACGATAAAACATTCAATTGATTTATGTTCATTTACATTTGGAAAACTCAATCATTTTCTAGACATATACATATACATACAATTATTAACACGCTTTATAACGCAATATTTAATCAGACATTTCCTGTACAGACTTTTAGGCAATTTTTCTTTCTGAAAAAAATAAAAATTTCAATTTATATAAATAATTTTAACTTTAAATATCCCAAATAATTAGGATCAATATTTGATTCATTGCGTAGATTAACGTAATAAAAATTATAATCAATAAATTTAAAACAATGTGTAGTAAAATTATATATAATTGCTTTCTTTTATTTATCAATCATTATATCGTAGATACGTTATTATGTAGATACAACAGTAGTAAGTTATTTTATTTCAAGTATAAAGATAACATTGCTTCTCTTATAAAAAGATCAAGATATTTTATATTTCTTAAATATTTCTTAATTATTTATAAGATTGTTAGTATAATATATATGCTGTTAAAATAAGAAATATACATTTCAAAATATGTATTAAATGCAATTTGTATTTTAAACAGAGAAAAAATCTCAATACACTTAGTATCATATTTTATTTTACACAGAACTGATATAAAACGAATAAAGTAATAATGTAATAAAATAATAAAGAAAATAAAGTTAAATTTAAATTACATGTCATTACCTAATCTAAAACAAAAAATATGTTTTTTTAATAGTTAAAATTTCATCAATAAACTGAGTCATTTCTTTTCTAAATGGACAAATGCAATTTATAAGTACCACAAAACGAATGAAACACATTAATGCGTTATGAAAAACTGACCTATACACTTGCGCAAGCTTCAGTCAGGAAACACATGCAGTATTTTTCTATAAAAAATAAACATCTGTTCAATTTCCCATAATACACTAATAGCTTAATCGCTAGCTTTTTTCATATTTATTAAATTGTGTATATTACAAACTCAAAGTGGAATTTTTTTCTTATAACATTACGTTTATATTAAATTAGATAATATATGATACAATTTGCAAAAATGATACGTTATAAAGTTTTATATCAATGAGAGAAAATGCACATCTTTGGTGACTTTTTTGTTGTCAAATACGTTTACATACTTGTAGAATAATGATCAGTATTACAACCAGATACTTTAGTCTCAATAAAATTCTATTACTCGCTCTTGGTTTATGGCCTTATTATCAATCAAATTTTGTTCGATTTCAAATTGTTTTAATTCTTGGTATTTTAATAAGTTTTATTATATTTCAGGTATTGTATATAATATTTCGCTTTTTTAATTGTCTCATGTAATAAGCTACTATGAAAATTACTAATTGTAGTAATAATTGGTCTTCACTTATAATCACTTCAAATATTAGTAAAAATGTTATATAACTGCTTATAATTATAATTATAAAAGTTTTATTATAAAGCAGGTTAACTTAAATTTTTAAAAATTTTTATCATAATTCACTAAACAAATAAAAAATAGTTACTTAATACATTTTTTGTTTACTTAACTTGCTTTTTATAATTAGAATTATAAAAAGTTTGACATTTTATCATGTTGTATTTTTCTATAAAGCAGGTTATTTTAAATTTATAAAAATTCTTATCACATTTCGTTAAACTAATAAAGAAACAGTTCTTTAATGCAATTTTATGAGTAAATTTCTTTTACAGTTTACAACATTTCTAACTACGGAATGCACTCCTCTCCTTATAATAAAAGTTCTTTCTTTCTCTGTTTTTTTCATTATACAAATAATAAAATATAATTCATTTTGGATTAATTCCGATAATGTAAGTTAAGCTTGTAAAATATGTGCACATTCAAATAAGGATCCTTCATAAATAAGTTTCTATACACAAAAATGTTTTCCAAGTTTCCAATGAGAAACACATTAAATATTATAAAAGGTAAGACTTTTGTTGGAGAGACTACAAGAAATCTGTAACGAGCTAAAAGATGAGAACGAAATCAACATTATGGAAGAATATGGAAACAATACGAAACGTTATACTATTATAATTATATGTAAGATAACATACATTTAAGTTAACATACATTTTACATTTCCATATAAATAAATTAATCTTAAAAATTAAATAATTAATTTAATTTGATACATACTTCTATAAATTATTTTTAGATATTTAGAATATAAATTTGTATTGAAAAATACGGAAAAC